AAAAAAGCTTTTGTTCTGACGAAGTTATGGGACTTTTACTGCAGCATCACTATACTAGAATTGACGCACGCGATAGAAACGTCCATAATTCTACAGCCAATAAGCATCATACGGAATATCAATTACATTCATAAATCTAGTTTTTGATGGGCTTTAACCTGGTATAAATACTTTCTGATATTATCTGTCCTTTAGGTCGTGTAGGGGGGGAGAAAAAGGTTATGTAACACCCTGTAGACAAAAGTTACTTTAAGCCAACTATACGGTATTAAAATGTCACTGCCCGTACTTTTGGTATACTCTAAGTATTTGTTCGTTGACAATGATGAAGTATGAATAGGTAGTAATGAAATTTTTATAGAGCCTCTAGTGACTTTCTAAACTCAAGTAACTTGATTTTGTATAAGACAGATAAAGAAAATAATTTTAAAATTTTTTTATGCATTTCTCCAGTGTACCTTTTATGTTCATACTTTGACAAATAATGAGATTGACTTTGACAGATTTCAAAATCTCATTTTTGAAATCTGACTAAATAGCGGATGAGGATCTGGCTTTTCAATACACAAGTGTTAAGATGATAATGTATTACTTACAACATCTACTATTATTGCCAGAAATGCTGATACAAATTTATATTTGTACGGATGTTTCATTGGTCCTGGTACAGGATAAGAATATCGTGTTAAAAGAATTGATAAAAATAATATGATAATAACAGATAGAGGCACCAATAGAGAGCGATAGCGGGGTATACATATTTTGACACTCATTCTAAAATTGATAAATAGAAACAAGACTGCTGTATTATTAATATACCCCATCATCTTTTTTCAAGATGATAATTCAATATTTACAAAAATAAAGATCATCACGCTGTACCCTAATGATTCAAACGTGTGCGTATACTAACTTTTTATTTGCTTTCCTTCTGTTCTACCCTAGTCTCTCTCTCACTCTCTCTCACTCTCACTCTTTTTCAATTTTTTTGTTCTTTAAAATAGTTTCATGCCAAACAAAAGAAAGGTAAACTAAAAGTACCCTGAAAATAGAATATGAGGAAGGATAATGTCAACCTCAATGTCTTTTATCAATAAGCACATGTCTTTTGTAAAGGCTTTCTTAATGATTGATATGTGAAAATTTTGTTCAAGGAAATCAGATTGTTACTTTTTCAATCCTTTAGAATATAAAATATTATTACGACAATCGATTTCAATATACTATATATACTATCACGAAAGTAAAGCAAACTAAACGCTAAAATAAGATCAGTAAAGACTCTCAAACAAATGGAAGTGAAATCTAGAAAGCAAATAAAACTATATCATTTACAAATCTTTGTGAGTTGTAAAATAAATAATTTTTGTAGAAAAGTAGACATATAAGATAGTAGAATATATAATCGTGAATTTCTATCTGTGAAATATAGTATTTTACTTATACACTATCTAGAAAACTGTGTTGTTCTTATTTATTATAATAACAAAAACAAACAAAATATACGTCTATGTTCTAGAAACACAAATATCTGATAGTAGCATCAGTATGAGATTAGCATATTTTATCATCAGTCAAGAAAATAGATCAGAAAAACAATAATAGTCGAACAGAAAACAAACAAAACTTATGAAATTTAAAAATACAATAGAAAACAAACAAAATATTTAAAAAAAAAAAGAAAATCAAAAGTATACTTTTTCTTAAAAACCGGTATATATGGTTATCGTACTATATTTGTTCAAATACTAACCGTTTAAAGGTAAATGATAAGGCAAAAGGATATATACATGAATCTTCGCAACATTCACAGCCATGCTTTATTAAAGAAAATAAGAAACAACTATAACAAATAAACAGAATATAAAATCACGTTTTAGAAGTAGGAGATTATTAGTATCGAAATCAGAAAAGTTATATTAATCAACACCGATAGTTTTTACAGAATAATCATATCAGCCCAAAAAGAAAATGAATGCAAATAAATATCAGGCAAAAAAACTCATAAAATTGACATCAGAACAACATAATCTTTCCTGACTTTTTAAAACTCTACAACTACAAAATCTGATCATAGAGAACGAATGTCATTTGAGCACCAATATTTATCATGAAAAATTGAAATGATATAGAATAGTTGCGTTGAAGAAAAGATTTTTTCAAAAACTCTATGGAAAGGATAGACTCAGTGTAACAAGCAACGATAAATTATATCTCACGAGGTGGTGTAGAAAAGCCGCTTTTAACAAATTTATCATTGAATCTAAAATGACTATTGTCATCTACCTGATCCATAGGATCTTTTTTTCTATGATTATCACCGCGCCGAGTTGGAGGAGAAGAAAAACTACTTCGATTAATATCTATATTTCTATGGTTAAAATATCCACTATCACGATGTTGTCTGGTGCCGCGAAAATCTTTCGAACTGCTTTCTTCACGTTCTCGTTTGTCAAAATGAACACTACCACATTCTGCGTTATTGTTCCATAAACCATGATCTCTAGGACGAACAAATCGATCTAAAACATACAGAATCTATTTCACAAATATTTGTAAGAGAATAATCATTTAGAAATCACAAACTACGTTAGATCTGCGCAATTGAATTAACGATAATAATTAATACAATCTATCAGTTCCTGCTATTGACAAACAAACTTTAAAATTCTGGCAACATTTTCTTTGTGAAAATTAATCGTTAACATAAAATTTAAGCTTTTCAACGACGTGGTAAGTGCTTATAAACAAGATTCACTCACCATCCTCGTGACGATGCGATTGTTTGTAATTATCACGTCCTGCACGTCTATCTTGTTCGCCATCTCGAGAATATTGTTGTCCTCTTCCCCCGCAATATGAACCATTTCCTGTATTTTTTTATATGAAACCGTCGATTCATTCTTATGTTCATCATAATTTCCATCTTTTGATGATCGTTCTTTACTTCTATTCTGTTTTCGTTCAACAATCGCTACATCGAAATAATCGCCAATTTGAAATGGTAACGTTGCCAATCGTTTATGATCATCTTCACCACGTTTTCCAACTTGAGTTTGGCCACATTGTTCAGATTTAAACTGTTTATACAAATCTTCGCTTGGTTTAACAATGGAAAACTCAAATTTTGTTCCATGACGTCTTGCTTGCGGATGAACATCTTTGATGAGTTGACTTAACTCTGCTAACGAAGCATCAAGCCATGTATATATCTGAAGTTCATTCTCAGGTGAATTACCACCAGTATAAGACTCGATAGAATGATGTTGCTCTAATGAACAAAACACCCGTAATAGTAATGGACATGTTCGAAGACGATCAACAGGCGGAAACTTTTTTTCTTTTAATTTACTCATCTATAACAAAATAATAGTACAACACAAATACTAAATCTTTATTGTTTCAGAATTAATGAAGTCTTAGCACATAGTGAGGTATCTGTAAACGAAAAGCTGAAATGATAACTAGTGGATCGTGTTACGGCTAATTTAGACACTGATTATATCTTACCGCTGCTTACACTGACTTGACTATTAATTGGTATCCATATGAAAAAAGCAAGAAAGCCGCAAACGAATTTGAAAAACAAACTCATAGAAATAGGTCTGTGAAACTCATGTTTGACTGCTACACGCGAGTTTCAGAACAGGCACATTTTGTTTGGTTTGTGAGAAAATAACAGTGTATGGGTACAATCAGCGAGTAAATCTCTTTGGAATCACTCATCTCATCTGTTGAGAAGTGGTCCAAAACGTAAACCACCCCTTTTAATGTTGATGTCCTGGCTTGATAAACTGTTTACAAATTACTCAATCATGCTGTAGAGCTAATTCCCAGAGAAATTTTGCGCACGGAATGATTTACGCGCTAATTTTCAAGTTATTTTTTCTCCTCAAAGATGGCCGTCGAATCCACATACTGATTGTAGAAATAACCGAATAGCTAACTATTGAACATTCAAATAGGAGTCGCTGTGAATCGGCGGATAAATTATTTGCTTTTTTTCTTCCTGTATCATGTCTTTCTTCGAGCTTCTTTTCATTTACAAATCAATGACCAGATAAAGTGTTTTTTTCAACTGATCATTCAAATATATTTGCGTTTCTTGTTATACTAAAATTTATCAAAAATTGCTACTGGTACTGTCTTTAACAGTGCATCCCATCATAATAGAGTGATATGTTCTGTATAAAATAAGGCCACTCCTAACTTTAACATCTTTTTTTGCTGTTACACTCAATTGGGTTCCCTCACGCCGCGCCCGATACTTCATTCGATCGGATCAGAATTTATATTGCATTTACTTCCGAAGTTACTCCAGAGATTAACATTTTTTTGGAAAAAAGTGCTTCATGGCCGAGGTATATGTTTTTTAAAATCAAAAATCAGGGTTTTTAAATATTTTCACTCCAACTTTTGCATGAAGCAATATTTTCAAAAAAATGTCAACGTCTGAAGAAACTTCGGAAGTAAATGCAGTAAAAAATCTGGCTCGATCAAATGAAGTATCACGCTGGGACGTAAGCAAGTCCAATTGAGTATACTAGCAAAAAAAGATGTTAAAGTTAGGAGTGGTCTTATTTTATAAAGAATATGTCACTCTATCACATTTGTCTCAAAAATGAAATTTTTTTCTAAAGTAAGGAGAGTGTACCCTTAAATTAGTCTTGAGATAAGATAGCATGGAAATTCATAGCTGGGACTTTTAAGATTTTCCTAACTATATAAACTTTGGCTATATTAGTCATGCTGTAAGCTGTCATTAAGATGTGATAAGATTTTGAAAATTTTTTCGAAAAATCAGTAAGCGTTATATACTAGACGCATAAGCAAATCAAATCTGTGAATAGCATTTGTACGGAAGTCGCGCCGCGATCCTGTATCATATCACCAGTAAGAGACAAATGCGATCGCGATGTAACAATTTTTTCTTATACAGATCGCGCTCAGGACGCGAAGTCACGTCGCAATCGTTATTGTCGCTTCACGATCGCTAATTACGAATTTCGAAAAGTAAGATTTCATCGCGATCGTGCCGCGACAACAGCGATTTCTCAGCGAACGCGACCACTATAAGAAAAAAGTGTCATATCACGATCGTGAATCACATTTTTTTTCAAAAATAAGAGCTGGTCGTGATTGCGTCGCCACAACAGCGACCTCTCTTAGCGATCGCAGCACGAGTTGTGTGATCGCGACATGAATGAAGCAAAAGAGTGGACTTGGATAAGCAACTCATATTGTGATATCTTTTAGATTGAGATATAAGAACATTCTTTAATAATATAATGCTTACTTATATCATAAATAAATTTAGTGCAGTAAAATGTTTCTTGTCAAATTTCCCAACTTGTTAACATTTAGTTTTTTAATAAATTCTACATGAAAAATTTTACAAAATCCTCTAGTCATCGGTTCTTATAAAAGAATCAGACACAAAACTTGTAACAGGCATGTAAGCATCTCGGAAGTGCTAATTAAGAATCTTATTCAATTCTTATATAAGATCGGTAAGAATTGATAGAACTCGTACGTTATTCTTATCGTATTTTTATAAAAGTCTTATCACATTCTTGTAAGATTCTTGCAAGTCTCGTATGAAACACTTGTTCGATTCTCCTACAAAAAGAATTTTAGTGCAGCACTAAAAAAAGGTCGCTACTGCCAGTGCGCACGACATGTCATGTCTCACTGACACGGGCTCGGATGGCACTAGTGACACATTTTTTTCCGTCACCCTTTTCTTTTCTAGGTATAATTTTACTATTTTTTAGGTGTAATTTTCACTCTGTTTTACTCGGGCTCTTCTTCGAGAACATGGTGAAATCAAATTTTAATGCTTTCGTTGAGCAGATGATGGGTTTATCATGTTATTTGAAAAGGAAAAGTCAGTGTGGATAGAGAGTCAGATGGTAAATTCAAAGGAAGTACACAGAAATTTCGGGTCTCTGTTCTCTCTTAACTAAACGCGTCCCATTTTCGGTATAGTCACAATGTCGAACTATCAGAGTTTTGGACAAATTTTCTTTTGAGAAACATTTCTTAATCAACTAAAGAGGGAACCTTTCGAGATGTCCCCTTCCGATTCCAATGATTTGTACACAAATTTCTTTTGCCGAGGATCAAAATAAATTCACCTGTAAAATTAGATGTATTTGTTATTTGGAAGATATCGATATTCAAAAGGTAGAGTTCGTAATAATAGTATATATTGAGAACAATAATTTGAGGATAACTTTTAATTTTAGCATCAATAAAACTTAAAAAAACCCAACTGAAGGTACAAGAATCAAAAAAGATTTTAAATTGGCACTTGTATGAGCAATTTCTATTCCACTAAAAACTTAATTCATTTAATCTCTTACCTTCGTTACATAAATAGAGAATCAAGAATGTAAATTAAGAACTCATATCTTATTACTTATATTTGCATGTCAATTTGTCGATAAATTAAGAACTTACTTTTGAAAAGGCTGATTATGTATCGAGAAGCTAAAAATTTCAATATTGTGGATTTCTTCTATTCAATTTAATACGAGTACAGTTACTTCATATGTGTTATGGGGGCGAATGTCACTAAAAACTTTTTTGATACGCGCTGAGTTACATATAAATGAAGATATTTTGCGTTGACAGAGTTTGTTCTAGTGATTCGACTTGACTGAAAACGATCTTACTGATCAAATTCATTTATTAGTGCTCATCAGTGATTAAACATGTGCGCAGTAATCATTTTTTACATGATCCGCTCAAACTCAGATCATTTACTAAACATCGATTTGTCATATAAAAAACCGATTACATTGAGCACTCAACATAAAGGATCGTGCGATAATAAAGTTAGGTCTACCAAATTACAGCTGCATTTAACATATACTTATTTATATAATTTAAAAATTATACACTGTAAGGTTGGAAATTATTTATGGAAAATGCTCAACGAATTTCAAAAAATACCTATAGAAATTCCTCGAGGATTTTCCAGTTTATAGAAAATCGAATTTCCAACAATCTAGAAAATCGTCGTTGAGTTTCCATAAATAATTCTCAAAAATCTGGAAGTTTCTCCTTGAATTTTCAGTTTGTTAGAAAATCGTCCTTAAATTTCCAAAATTATTTGAATAAATAATTTCCAAGAAAGTAGAAATTGTTTTTTGATTTTCTATAAACTGGAAATTCCTCGGCGGGTCTGCATCGAGTGGCGGCGCGACCAGGTTGTATGGGGGTTGATCCCACTCATGCTTTTGAGAAATTTCTGGTGAACGTCTTCGATTTTGGGACCTTCCTATCAAAACTTCGCGCCACCACTGTCTCTACCTAAATCAAAATTCTTGCTGGGATAGGCAGAATTGTGAACTAAAGTAGAAACTGTCAAAGCTAATTTAAGTGTAATATGAGTGTCTTTACGTGACGCTCTTATACCTGCACTGATTGCAAAACAAAAAGATGAATAAGTATTTGGTCTAGAAATTTTTGGGCGAATTTCCACTTTCTAGAAAATCGTCGAGGATTTTCTAGTTTACAGAAAATCAAAATCGAATTTGTAGATTCTTGTAAATTATTTATAGAAAATCCTCAGCGATTCTCTACCTTTATAGAAAATTGAATTTATGGAAAATCAACATTTCCTAGAAAGATGGAAATTCGTCGAGAAATTTCTATAAACTAGAAAATCCTCGACGATTTTCTATAAACTGGAAATTAATTTAAGATTACAGTGTAGTTTCACTTCGTCGACAAAGATCAGTATGTTCCAAGAGGATTTCTATAACACACTTAGCTCGTCATTACAGAGTCTTAAAATATACAGACTCATCCTGAATACTATGCCATCGATCAGTTTTATATAGAATTGAAAAAGATTTCCTTATAATACAGTGAGTTTATCAAACAAAATTACAGGTAAGATAAAATACTCGAACGAAAGAGATGATATACATCAAAGATGGGACCGGTTCCTGTATTTCGAAACTGAACTGATTCGTTTGTTAGAAAGCTCAACTCGAATCGAACCGAAAATCGTTTTCAGAGTAGAAAAGAGTGAAAAAATGTTACAGACGCACAGAGATCTCTTTCCATTACATAGCATCATCAATACTGACGTAGACATTTACTTTTGATAATTTAATCACAATCTAAGCACAATATAAATCGGTATTTGTGAAAATACAAGCAATAGAGACAAAAAAAAAGGTAACCATTCATTTTTATCAATCACAAAGAGCTTGTTCATATTTCTGATACGACTGTTTAAATCCAATGTTGGAAACGGCAGTGCACATTCAAGAGAGGGTGAGAACTGTGGATCGATGACTTTGTCAAGATATTTTTTTCATTTTTACAAACCTTTTGGAAAGTCGTTCATATCGAATCGATTTCATCTCTGATACACATATACCTAACCGTCATGTCAGTTTTCTGTTCAAGATTTTTTCCAGTCACTAAAATACGTTCCTGGATGAGCAAAAATAGAAATATTACATCACTTGATAAAGGATTGTTTAACGTATTTGTTTTGTCAAACATTTATAACTTATTCCCAAAATTCAGATTTTTCATTGCTTGAGTTAGCATCAAAACTTTATTTTTTTTCCCTCAACATTTTCTCTCTCTCTGAATTTAATTGCATCTTTCTTTCTTTATCTTAACGCGACAATAATAAAAAATAAAGAAGGATATACACACATACACACTCACACACGATAAATGATCTATAAAACTTCCACCTTTTTTTCACCGGAAAGTAGAGTACGTAAGTAGTTAAGACAGATAAATAAAAATTATGTTTTTCGGATGCAAAAGTAAAAAGTAACAGCAGCAGAAATATTTCTTGATTAAAATATTACATAAAAAATTACAGTATTTACATTGGAATAAATATAAATCTTCCTTTCTCTTCCTCTCTCTTCTATTTCAACAATTCATTATCAGTAGCTATTTGTTGCAACGCTAATATCAGATATTCATTTAAATAAGTGAATTCTTCACTCCTATTCATCTCATTTCGATGAATTTTAGCGCATTGTGATGTTATTCGTAGTAGTTGTTTGAGCATTAATGCTAATTTTCGATATTCATCATTGTCCGACCACTTCTGATCCAACAATTGACGAACTTTATCATAATAAACATCCTTTTGAATACCATCCGATTGTTGAACAATCATTTGAGAACACGTTGTTTCATTACCATCACCACAATCATTTGGTGAATTTTGCTATAATTAGACACGGTCATAGAGAGGGAGCGGAATATCTTTTGTCTGAAGAGCAGTTATTGAACTATGACTACCTAAAATTTTTCTGCTTTTTCCCCTGCTATATGTAAACACTAAAGGAAAATTCTCCAGATTCCGCTATGGGTTTGACTTCTCAAATAATAATATAAGAGATCAATCAGCAATCATAGTTACCTATTGATTTAAGCTAACGCAGTAAATCACAACTCTCTTCTGAAGTATATTTTTTAAAAATTCCATTTACCTGCATGACAAATTTTGTTAAAGTATGTTGCCATGTTTCTTCTTGTAATAGTGGTATTTTATCCGTTGGTAATGATTGTTGTTGATCTTTGACAAATACCTGTTGTTGATCATACAGCCAATGATTTATAATTTCAATGAAACATACTTCAAGCAGAGTTAGACGGCGATAGGTACAAAGATGTTTTGAACGTTTCTTTGTGCCTAGACGAATTTGAATATCTTTATCATTGAATGATACAGACAATTTTAGTTGTACATTATCATGTAAATATTGTAAAGATCGTTTTAATGCTTCACCAGTAAGTTTATAATGTTGAACTTCCAATATATCCGCGGCAACAGTGTGTGATACTGAAATGATAAAATAGTAAGATGAGAATAGTTTTAAAGTTGTTGTTAGAGACTCTCATAGCTGAAGTTGGAATCTAAATGAGTTTTCATTACTTTCATCAACAAAACTGCATAAGAAACATATATCAAGAAAAAAAAGGTCTTTAAACCCATCTGATCATAGCAAACTAAACGCTGAACGTTAGACGTATCAAGATTATAAAAACAGTGCAACGTCTGACTTACATAATTTTGTTTGTTTTTGAATATTAATTTGTCGTAGTTTAATTAACAGTTGTGCAAATAACCACGGAAAACTAATAATTTTCTTCTTTTTTGATAAATCTTGTTGTTGTTGCTGTTGATAACATATCATATAGCATGCACTCACTTTAGCCAATTTTGGTTCTAAACATTGTGGACATTCACAATTACCTTGAAATTCTTCATAAAATAATGTTCTTGTACGTTGAATTAGTAATCGTAATTCTGTTTGTGCCGAATCAGCTATTAAATTATTATTACCATCTCGTTTTGTTGGTTGGGATGAATCAAAACGACAAATCAAATCGATATCCGATGAAAAATGATATACATAAAGAATATCCAAAATAGAGTCACGATAACGACGAAATAGATCACGTGCCGAATTTCCATACGCACGATAATTATCATGAATTAATAATGGATCGACAGAATGGCATGGTGTAGAGGCAAGTTTTGACCAGTTAGGTTCGAAACGAGAGGTTGATCGAAATAATTTACCTATAGAAGATGTTATGATTAACGAACATGAATAATTTCTCTGCTGATGTCGTTATTTCTCATATCAATATGTACAGTTCATTCTCAAGGAATACTCAAGCTGAAGAACAATCGTCAAGGAAAAGAGTTTTTAGTCAGGATCAATTAGTTTTATATTGTCAAGAGAAATAGCTCGAACTCCGCTTTGACTTCACAGAGGGAGGGGAGGTACGCTTTGATGCAGCGATTTTTCAACAAATTCCATGAAGCATTTTTCTTTACACAGAAAACTGTAATTTTTAGTCAATCCAATCACATCTGATACTGTTGGCTGACAAAACATTCTTACCTAGAACATGTTTTGATGGATAATGAGAATAATGTTTATTATCAATATAATCTGGCCTTTCATTGTTCAAATGAGAATTTAATTCTTTCAATTTCTGTAATGTATAAGGATGTTTACCAGTTTTACCTAAACAAAAACTAAATAATGGGATAGTATCTGTAATAAATTCGTATCTCATCATTTACCAGCATCAACTTCTTCGCTAATAGCTCCGGCAATTTCAATACATTTTTCATGATCAACCCCATATTTATCAACATAAGCCAAATGTAAACTGCACAATTTACCCAAACAATTTTGTTCACTAATATCAAGTACGACTTTGTTAATATCATCACGAGTTATTGGACGATCTAATTTTTCTGGTTGATCTTGTGAGTCATAATCATATGGTTCAATATTGTCTGTTGTAGGTACCAAATCTTCATGCCAATAGACAGCATATTCATCACCTTTAATTCATAAAGAAGAAAAAAGAAAAATATTGGATTTTGCTAGCAATAAATCATAATTTTTTTCTTTTTACTCAAAGTTTTCATTGAAATAAATTTTTGAAAAATCTAAGCTCTAACACTGTTTGCTTTCCCCTATTTGAAATATCCTATTCTCTGAGATTGTTCTTCCTTACCCTTCCACAAAGAATACTGTCTCGCAGTCTCATACCGTCAAGATCTGAGCCACTAATTTCATTTGGATGTGGTCTACGACCTTTTTGTGGGAATACAATGACGTCTTTTAAATGTCTTAATTTTTCACTGTCGACAGCTTGAAATGTTCGAGCATCACCAGGATGATGACAAGGATTTTTGGTGACAACTACACGCTGTTTTAATATTGTTGTTGTTTCTTCATCATTTTCATCACCATCACCCGTCAATGATTCTTGTTTCATATTTGAAAATTGAATAAACACTTGACCATATTCCAAAATACCTATAAAAATGAAAATTTAATCAGTTTCTGTAATAAATTATAAAATCATCCTTACCGTATTCATCAACTATGCCAATCATGTTTCTTGCTTTTGTCTTGGCTATTTTTGTTCTCGATTTTTCTTTCATTTGTTTCAAATCATATTTACAAATGGTAATAATCAATTGTCGAAAAAATGGTTCCAAAATAAAATTAATTTGCCCATCAAGAACTAGTTGACGAAATGGAAACAAATTTCGAATAATTTTATCGCATAATAATTCAAAAGCCGAAGATGGATACAACAATGATTCTATGAGACATAAATGATGTTCATTTTGTAATAACAAAAAATTGGCATCATCTATGCCACGATGTGACAATAATACAATTGCTTGACGATTTAAATACAAAGACCCTAAAAAAGGTATCATTTTTATATGAAAAGTGGACGACGTAACATTCATTCGTGTAAAAACAATATCGTAGTTCATCAAGAAAAAAAACGTTTTCTATCCCGGAAATTTTTAATTCATTTATTTATTTTTGTAGCAAACAAATATCTTCAAAAATTATTTAAAATCAGTTTAATTTACATTTTCTAAAACAAAAACAAACAAAAAAAAAAAATGCTTACTTGGCTTTGATATTCGACATAATTCCAATATATCATGGTTCGACTTGAATTTCAGCATACTATTTCGAATAGCCAGTTGATGTACACAATTATCCAATTCGGGCTTCACTGATATTATCCCTAAAGGATGAATAATGATGTTTTAATAAATTGCTTTTTTTTTCCAATTAAAACAAGAAAAATGTACTACCTTTGCAGCCACCGTATCGTATTTGCACAGCACTAAATGGTCGATTTGGTTGAATCTAAAGTAAATAAAATTCAAAATAATAAGATGAAAATAGAGATCATAACAAAATCAACTTAAATTATCTCTTATATTTGTCGACATTGCTCCAACTCCATCAGTAAAATTGTATTTTCCATCACTTGTTTCAATATCATCGACATATTCAACGAGTGATGATGGAATCTAAAATAAAAATATTATAAAAATTATGAATTCTTCTTTCTAAACAAATTCGAAATGAAGAAATGTTTATAAAAAATTTTTACTTGAATAGTTGCTTCAGCACTCGTAAAACACTGGGCAATTCTAGCTGAATGTTTAGCAACAACTCGTTCACCATCAAAATCTCCCATCCATTTGTAAGCATCTTCGAATGATAAATTATATCCTTCTTGATAATTATAAAACCAAAATTGTTTATCTTTTAATTGACTTTGAGAATGATGTAAATATTTATAGATCCGATTTTGAGTAATTTCAAAGCCATTTGTTAATAAATATTCTAATTTAAATCGTAATGATCTTTAAACAGAAAATAATATCTACACAAAAAAGATTACTTAAACCAGTGATATATTAATAAATTAAATTCTAAAAGATTATCATCAACTAACCTATAATCATGTGGATAAAGATCCATTCCATTTTCCTCTTTAATATCCACAAGAGCAAAACTCATTTGTCCACCAAATTTTTTTTCTCGCAACACACGATTTGTTTTGCATAATTTGAATGGTTTATAAATAATTGTCGATGGTGTAACGGTAATTGATGGCACATAACAATAATTTTTTGGTGGATAAGAGAGACTCCATTGAGGTTGGCCAAGTTCTAGTTCTCCTATATGTTTTTGATAACGAATTAATTCATCGTATAGTGATAAAAAATGATATTCTGTTGCACGACGCCATAAATGCAATGATGTTTGAAAAAATTCATCATCATCTAAAACCGGAAAAAGTTAAAAATTTAAAATATTGAAAAAAAGATGAGCTCTTGAGAATAAAATTTATCATCTAAAGATGATGAGTTGAATCATTACCTTTGATCTTTTCCATTAATATAATAAATCTTTGTTCTAATCTTTGTTCAAATCGATGTCCGATTGATAATAGCATTTCCCAACAATAGTTTTTAATAAATGAATTAAAAGATGGTTTTATTTGACAGATATTTGTTACTTGTCCTGCTAAAGACGACGATATTAAACCAAAACAGAGTTGAATTTGATTTTGTTGTAAAAATGTTAAATATCGTTGAAAACATGAATTGATACGATTTAAATTATGTTGCGAGTTATTGTTACCGTCATCATCATCTGATGGAGATTTTGGACTGTCTAATTTGACGAGTAAACGGATAGTTGAACAACATGGTTTTGATGATAATGAACATGTTCGAACATATCTTGGAAGAGAGGATGCATCACTAGCAGGATCTAGAGATGAAATATGATGAGTCAATACGATCACTAAAGAATGATCAGAGTTAAATTAATCACACCGTCACGATCATCTAAGTAGAATACTTGTTACAGGCACAGGTTTTCAAAGACAAAACATTTCATGTATGTGATAGTAAAAATGTACATCTCACACGTTAACAAATGATAAGACATATACATATAACAACTAAAATTCAAAAGTATTTACCAGTAATCTGATCTTGCGTATTTCCTTTCATCATCAAATGCAAAATAAAACCATCATTTAATGTTGTAACAATCGCACATCTGTCGAGAAAGTCAGCTTTGACTACGATTCGTTTACGATCATCTTTTAATCCATAATCAATGTCAAATTTATCCGAATAAAACGTTATCCTCCATGTATTCTGTAGACGCGCATAGGTATAATATTTGTTCATTGATATCAACGAACCGCATGAATAGTCTAATGAAATACCACAATTCATATAATATTTACCCAATTTTACATTTTTGCATGATGGATAAGTTCGGGGAATGGAAACTGTAACATTAGACAAAACGTTGTAAAAATAACGAGATCTTTTAGCTGAGATCATGCAGCAAAGCTATTCATCAAATCGATTCAACTGTTTTATTCCTTAATACAGTTCGCTTGAAATATTTATTTACATTTTCAATACAGCCACTGTTACATGTTTATCCAGCAGTATCCAGCTGCACAACAGTAATTTCAAGAAATTAGCTCGGTTCAGTGAGATATAATGAAATAGTTTTGTTAACTCCACTTTTGCAATGTCAACGTTGCAAGAATTAACTCGCAATTCTTATAATATACGTTAAATACTATTTCTTCGTATTATTTTTTTTCTTCCTTATTTCGTTCTAGACACTCTTAATAAATACAGACATTTTCTTCGATGATTGATTATACTTACGGGATTGTTTTGCCTGATTTGTTGATATCCAAAATGTATGATTAGAGTTCAGTTGTAAATGTTTCAAGTTTAATATAGCGGATTGGAGAGCATTTTCTTTGCTCGTTGATAATTCAAATGTGTATGATGTAACCCCAAAATACCATTGGTCCTGCTTAAATTTCTTATAATCTATTGAACATTTCTCAAGAATCGTTAATAGCTGTTTGGAAGGTAATATAAGAGTGTCGATAATTAATGTTAACAAGATGGGCCCACCATCAGTTTTATCAGGTGGAACCGATGAATCAAATTTCTAAACGTAGAAGAACATTTATAATATTTTAAATTAAAAAATAGAACTGATGAAAAGTCAAAAAACGTTAAAAGAATACAGAATATTTGATTTGTAAGAATGCAATCTGTCAGTTAAAAGTGTGCAGACCAGTTAGTTCTAAGAAAAAACTATAATTAACACTAAAAATATTTGCTATCTATTTAGAGCTACTAATACCGAAGCTTATCTTTCTTAGATCTGTAAGGCTTATGAATTCTCATTGCTGTCAACCACATTCTATCGTCAGTAAGAGAAGTTGTCTCAATTTTAAGCATTAACTGATTCTCTCAAGTCGATTTAAAGTGAGTATTTCTTCATTTCTTGTTCAGTTCATTCTTTCCTCATTCTATGATACACATTGCAAGAAGATAAACTATGTTGAAAAATTTTCACTTACCACTTGGGACTGTGTCATTGTATTTATTTCAAAATAGTTGTATTGGTTCACATAGTCATAGGATATTTGGGAACGTTTAACGTCGATAAAAGTTGAGTTTAAGTTTGTTTGAGTGTAAAAATAAAATGATGGTAGGATATGATCTATACTTTCAAAATTCATTTTCTTTTTCTTCTAATGGAGAAAAAACAAATAAGAGAAACACGTGTTTTAAATTTGAAAGAGATAGATAGACACAACGATGTGACGTGGCAAGAGACTAGACTGGACGCAAACGCAGTAGGAAAATAAGATTCTTATATCCTACGATTATATAAAGTCTTCTCAGTGTTTTCTTTCTTTATACCTGTATTCACTCCATACTGGGAAGTAACTATATACATATATAAAACTGTTCATAGACTGCGTCTTAATGACACACCTCTTCCTACTAATCTGTTTTCTTTTAGATGATCTTACAAGATTCTTGCCTCTTACCATTTCAGACAACAATCTTCAAATTTATTTTAATTGTTTTTCAGTTTTTTCATAGAAGATTCTCACGTGAAATAGCAAGCGTTGTTGACTATAAAATTACTAATCTCGTATATACAGCTCTCAGTTGTCATGGAAATTCTTTTAAATCTCAGAGACAATAGAATCTTTGCATGTGGTTGAGTTAACTGCAGAAGGGCTAGTCCCTATATAGATGAAAGGAAAAAGAAACATAAGCATTTTTTTCCTTCGTAAGATTCTTGCCAAATTGATTGCACAAGAATCTTATAAAAATAAGGACAAGAAAGGTGATCAGTATGTGGAGTAAAAACGCAAAAAGTTTTATGCCTTCAAACGAAATAGAGATGAGTGTGTAGCAAATAAATTTTAACGATACGAGAAAGTAAGACTTTTGATTTATTGTGCAGCTCGATCACATGAACATACCACTGGTAGAAAAATAAAGTTCATGCAGAGTCACGGAAAAGTGCTTTTTCATACTCAGTACACTGAGTAACCCAGAATATTTTCTATTTTTGACGAGGAGTACTACCAAAGTTTAGAACAAAAAATTTTTGAATAAAATGGCGAAAAAAATTTCTATGGAAAAATAATATTCATCTTAATATTTTTCTTAAACTTTTGGTAGTATCTCTCGTCAAAAATAGAAAATCTTCTGGGTTACTGAGTGTACTGAATATGACAAAGGATTTTTCTATAACTCTGTATGAATTTTATTTTTTTTCTTCATGTTGATATGAATATTAATTTTGCGCACAATTCTTGGATTATTTTATAAAATTTTCAGCAATCATACGGGCAGACAACTCCTTTTTGACAATGGATTCTTCTCAACATTTTCACATCAAAAAGATTCATGAAGTATTTATAATATAGAACTTAACCTCGAGTATTTAAACTGATGGTAAATTATTGTTGTACATACTAGAAAAAGTGGTTTTCAAAGATGATTACCAAGTAAATAATTAATTTAAGAAGTAGTAAAATTATATAACAATCATTTTAGCGCCTGTCTTATATTGTTGTAGAATAAAAAAACAAAACGTTTCCGCTCTAATAAAATCTGAGAGTTTCCTTAGAGTAAAGTAAAAATTTTGAGAAAAGAGGACAAAGGTGCAATGACATTCGCATCACTTAGCAACTCAAACATATATATTTTCGCTCTGAAGTGAAGAAAAGAATGATGATTTTGCAAAACTATATCCTTCATGTGTCACCTATTGTTCGAATATCAATCGTTATTTGATTGTATGTGAAAGAAACGGATTAGGAAAATTTCTTTGATGGGTACAGATACTAAAGAAAAATGTTTTGTTATTTTAACAGTATATGTTTAATTCTTTCAAGTTTTTGCTTGAGAGGATGAAATCACTCCCATCGCACTGCATCTGTCACCATGAGATTGACTAACAGTAGTATCAATTTCAAAATCGAATGAAGTCTACAATATTTTGAATAATTTTCTAGTGAAAACAGATACAGGTACAAAGTTTCCGCTGTTCGATAGAGGAGAACGAGGGGGAGTAATTTCGTAAGCAAAACAAATGATAAAATCTTTGTCAATGATAGACTCTTGAGAGGATGTTTGGAAAACCAGTTTATTTTCCCGGAAATTTAGATGATTATATAGTAGTTTTTTATATGAGAAGATAATCTGAAATATTCTTTCTAACGTGTGAGTCAAACGAAACCTTGATTTTTGGTGCAAAATACGTAATCACCTACGCTGAATCTGATGGCAATGTTTGTTTTCGAAGAAACATTCAAAAACCACATATAAATCGAGTTTTACGAAAAATAGAGTTTCGCAGCTGTTTTTAGCTATGATTAAAAAAGTTCGTAAATCACTCTAAATATATTAAGAACTAGTTGAAAAACTCAAGGATATTTTTGTTTGATAAACCTGAAGAAGAGAGGAAGGGTCAACTAAAATTGGACAGAAGCGAGGGAATTATAAACAGCAATTTTTACTTGGATGTTCTTTATGAATGAGCAATGAAACTATCCATATATTTTGTGATTCAAAGCGGAGCCAACTGGTTTAAAAAGTCAGTTTCCGCTAAAATTTAACCGAACAGCGGTATAGTGGCGATACATTACAATGGTAGGATCCCATCAGAAAAAATCGTAGAATAAACTAACAGTTCATAGCGTCGAGAGTTCTTCGAGAAACTCGAATAATTTTTTCTGTTCCACAAAAATGAGAAATAATTACAAAAAAAAGAGAGTTTTCAGTGATCTCGCTAGAGAATGACGATCACGTAAAAATACCTTTCATATTCTAACAACGATTAATTGCTCCAAGCTAGTACTTAAGAGTCTAAGGTTGTTTCTTTAAATGATTTCACCAAAGGTGTTCTTACTTATGTATTTCGTGAAAAGATATGGTATACAGCACTTACATTTCTAGTTTTACTTCGCAAATCTTTCATTCATATAAGTGTTACATGTTTATTCGTTCTTACAGGTATAATTCTTTCGCAGTATGTGCACGTTTTTTTAGTGCTTTCAATTACTTTTGTCATGTCGAAAAAACAATTTATAATTCTTGAAATAACAGCTATTTGAATTGAATTATCAGGTGAATAATGAAAAAATTTAATATACAAAGGATACCGTTGGTTTTCAAAAATTCAAGTGATTAACTTTCTATTAAAGGGTAAGATAGAGACTTATAAGGCACGTCTGACTATATGCTTCTTAGGACTTGGCCCTGCATAGATCTTGTGAAAACTAAAAAGTTTAGGTACCGGATACCTATGTAATACCCATGTAATAAAAGTTTTTTTTTCACTGCCCTTCTACTTTTTTGACAAACGCATTTGGACAGACGAAATGATCGTGCATTTGCGCATTTCATTGGTCTAGTGTACAATTCTAAGAAGAGCGAAAAACGTTCAAAAAACTAAACAATATTTGACTTTTTTAAAAGATTATGATCAGCAAAAACGCTATGTGTCCATTAGCAACGTTTGTCGCGAATGACGAAATTACAGAAAAACATCCCAAGTCAACATTCTTGGGCCTATTCGCTACGCGAGACGCTAAAAACATTTCCGGCGAGATCGCATAACGCGTTTGCTGTAAGATTCGCGAAATGAGACGCGATTTTCCGCGATCACGGTTTTGTTGAGAGTAATCTAAGAGTAATCATACGACATTTTCGGTTGGCATAGCACGAGCGTGGTCTAAGTCCTGGCACGATCCTACAGTATCTGCTATTGTCGCATTACGACTGTTATTCATGCAGATTGCGAAAAACTTCTTTTCTTTGCTTTAATTTCGAAATAAAGGACGAGCTATAAAAAAAATCAGTTCGGTCCTGTCTAACGCACAGAGAATTTGGGCTCAGCCACCCAGCCTCATTCACAGGGTGCTAGAATGGTTCTAGTAACGAATTGGTCCGAGAGATAATATCCATGGGTATACACACTCTGAAAGTTCAAGCATGAATGCTCGATGCTTCGCATATGGCAAACCTAACCTTATTGCTAAAACTCACGACTGAATGAACTAAAAGGCATTAGTCTTTCTCACTTTTAATTTAAGATCATATTCAATCATATGATCGAATCAGAATTGAGAAATACAGCTAAGTAGGACTTAGTTTGCCTGAGCAAGAAATGTTTCTGGAAAGTAAACTCCACAGTTTATCGAAAATCAGGTAATTCAACACTATGACTGCGGTTTAGAAGGAACAGTAGAAGAACCGCGCGCCGAAACTCCTGTGTAGGGGTGGCGCATTTTCTTTACTGATGCGTTACTTTACTGAGTAAAGCAACGCTTTCAAATATCACCGTATGAGTGACGAACAACCGAAAATGTATTGTTTTATCACCTTCCGGACACAATGCGAC